CATCCATGGTGTCGATGTGCTCGGAGGGTGAACTTGTTTTGTCCAGTCTCTCAACTTCCGCGCTCAGCCTCCTGGCGAGTGGACGAGAGTAGATTATCGGATGGCCGCGCCCTCTTCTTTTCGCTTCCCCCCCCACGGATTAGCCCACAGGGAACGAAGCCCGCCACCCTCCCCGCCTTTGGTGATGCCCCTCTCCGCCCCCTCGAGGGCTGAGGTGGCTGGGGGGGGGGTCCCTGGCGGGAACCTCGGGGTGGTGGGCCTTTCCCTCCTCTTCTCCCCGCCCCCCGCTCCCACGCACGCTGTGCTTCGCACGACGTCACAAAGCGCCCCCCCCCCGGATTAGCGCTGACACAAAGCAGTCATCGACAAGGAGCTGGTCCGTACGAGGTGCCCGTGGGGTGGTGCTCTGCGGTCCTCCCGGCGACAGTCCCCCTTTCACCCGGACGTGGGCGCTCTGGCCGACCCATCGGAGATGCCTTGGTCGGCGCTGTGGGGGTCCTCCCGGTGGCTGCCTCCCCGCAGAGGACATGGGCGCTCTGGCCGACCCGTCGGTCGACGTCCGCCCCGGTGGGGATGCCTTGGTCGGCGCTTTGTGGTGGGGCGCGCCCCTCTCGCCTAGATTCGAGGCCCCTGGCGGGCTGGAGCCCCTCGCGCTGCCTGCCGCTCGCGGCCCCGGGTGCTGCCGACCTCGAGGTTCTGTTTTGTTCCTCGCGCGCGCATGCGCAGAGTTTCGCCCGTGTTGCGAGTGACCACTGGTCTGGTCTGGTCAGCTGTGTGCTTCGTTCTCCAGGGAGGGCCCTAGGCCCACCCCCCCAACCCCCTTGAATCATGAAACATCACGACGGAAGGTCTTCCTCAATTTTCGGCCTCTCGGGGCCCTCACTGGGACCCGGGACGGTCAGAACACGACTCAGGATAAAGAATCCGTCCTTGGGATTGGGTCGGGACCTCTGGGGGTCGACGTTATGAGAACATCATGACGTCTGGGGTCTGGTACGGGTTTGACAACTGACGTTATGACAAACATGACCGGTTTGTGCTTACCATTCTCTCTGTTTGCTGCGCTGATCTGAGCACTTCCCTCCGCGGGGCTACGGCCAAGATCCAGCACGGTAGTCTTTTTTGTGTTTCTGTCTCTCTCTCTCTCTCTCTTGGCTATCCTCCTCCTCCTCCTCCTCCTCCTCCTCCTCCTCCTCCTCCTCCGCCACTAAGATGCAAGGCGATTCCTGTTCAAAGCGGGGCCCTCGCCAAAATGGCAGGCCCACTTGTGCTGGTCTTGTAGGGGGGGCGCTTCTTGTAGTGAAAGAGAAGATTTGTAAGGGCACGCGAGGAGGGGTCTTGGGACGGAGGGTCCATTGCAGCATCTGCTGTACATCTTTGGTTTACTCTGGTCATCCCTCCTCCTCCCCCCTTTTCCTCCTCTCCCTCCTCCTCACTTCTCCTCCTCCTCCTCACTTCTCCTCCAGCTTCTCCTCCTTCCTCCTCTTTCTTTTCCTCCCTCCTCCTCCTTCCTCCTCCTCTCCCTCCTCCTTCCTTCTCCTCCCTCCTCCCCCTCCTCCTCCTCCCTCCGTCCGCAGTCGTTTCGATGCAGGCCGCCGCTCTTTCGGCTCAGGCTGTGGGCGGAGCCGCGCCCGCCGGCGCCGATGCCCCCCGCGGGGGAGCCCGGGCCATGGCCCGGGAGGAGGAGGTCCTCCCCTGCCGGGCCGACGTCGTGGCCGAGTTCGGGCTGTTCTGCGAGGCCGGGTGCCAGCAGGAGCTCGACGGAGGAGAGCTCAGGTGCTCGGAGGAGGGAAGAAGCCGAGTGGTGCTCCGAGGAGGAGCGGCCGCTCGTGCTCGCCTTCTCGGGGCCTCCTGGGGAGCCCTCGTGGCCACGGCCAGATGCGCCTCGAGATGCTGGTCAGGAGGCACCCGGGCAGAGGCCCAGGGAGCAGCGGCATGGGTATCTCTCTGGTGTCCACAGGGACTGCAACCCTGCCTTCGTCAGCACGGCGGTGCTCGCCTCGGAGGCCTGGTCGGGACGCGCCCCAGGAGAGGGCCGCGGAGCCCCGCGAGCCGACGTTGCGGAGAAACGGCAGCGCGAAGAGTCCCGGCCCGAGCCCCAGGAGCCCGCCTTTCTGCGGCGGCATTTGTCGAGCCGTATCGATCTGTGAGGGCCCTGGGGCCCGGAACTAGGCGACGACGCCCGCAGCGTCATTCTAGGCCTCCCAGATGGGGTCCGAGTGGGGTCGGAGGATCGCGCCGCATCGCCGATGCATCGTCGATGCGGCTCCATGTGCATCCCGCTCTGCTTCACGCCGACGTCGCCGATGCATCGCCGGCGTCGACGATGCAGCGCCGGCGCATCGCCAACGCATCACCGATGCATCGCCGATGCATCGGCGATGCGGCGCGACCCTTCGACCCCATCTGCTCAGATCCCATCTGGGAGGTCTCCAGTCATGTGATGGGCCTGTTGTCCACCACCACCACCATAAGTTGGAGGGGGATGGGGTCCTTCTCC